AAATAGTACAGTTATTTTGGAATATTAAAAATAAATGTTGTTTCATTAAAACCTTACTAGGAAAATCCAGTGAGATAAAACCTAAGCGAAGGAAAAAGAGTACAACTTATCCTTATGATGTTGATCGCTGAAAATCTTTGAGTCGATGCATTCCAATATTGTGAACCAATTTCTTGAATATAGATGTTGGCAATGATTTTGTAAATAAATCAGCCACATTGTCATTTAACGAATTTGTTGAACCTCGATGTCGCCATTCTTCTTAAGCTCGTGTGTATGAAAGAATTTTGGAGAAATATATTTCGTCCTGTCACATTTGGTATAACCTCCTTTGAGCTGTGCAATACAAGCAGCATTATGTTCATACAAAATTGTTGGACTATCATTTGTTGAAATTAATCCGCATGATGCTTGGATATGATTGGTCATGTTCCTCAATCATACACATTCTTGGCTACTTCATGGATTGCAACTATTTCAAAATGATTTGAGAATGTTGTTGTAAAGGATTATTTCATAGATCTCCAGGATATAGTTGTTCTTCCACGTGTAAATACGTATACTATTCGTGATTTAGCTTTATGTGGATCAGAGAGATATAATGCATATGAATATCCCACTAAAGCAAATCCCGACTTTTGGGAATAAAATAATCTCAAATCAACAGTACTATTTAGGTAACGAAAAATATATTTAACACTATTCCAATGTCTTTGTATTAGTGTGGAGTTATATTTTGTAAGGAGATTTACAGAAAAAGGTATGTGGGATCGAGTACAGTTTGCAAGATAAATTAATGTTCTAATTGCACCAAGATATGGTACTTTAGGACCAAGACTATTTTCTCCATCTTCAAGTGGAGGAAAATGATCATTTTTCACATCAAATGATCGAACAACCATAGGTGATGTCAATGGATGTGCATTATCTATATAAAAACTTTTTAAAGCTTTTTTCTGTATATATATAGATTGATGAACAAATAATCCTACTAAAAAAATGTTCAATCTGCAATCTGAGACATAATTTAATTGTTCCCAAATCTTTCATCTCAAATTTATTTTTCACATAATCTGCAATTTTGTTGAGCTCTTCAGGAGTCTCTATATATTATAATATTATTTTGAGGGTAAATATCTTTTAGGTTATGAACATTAATTACACAAAGAATATGCTTCTCAATTAAAATGGGAAGTATTTGGTTCTCAATTAAATTAAATGGAGGAGTTTAACAACCAATAATGTTAAACAATTTATCTAAATATCAACTAACACCTATTAAAAATTTGAGATTTAGGAATAATAGTATTAAAAAGACATC